TCCATCAGGACCTGAAGATTTTTTAACATCAAGCTTTAAAAGTAAATTAAAAACTCGCTCTTCACTTATGACAATATCCGATAGGGGTGGGCCTGCCATATTGAATGTTTCCAGGACTCCATTATCCTTTGTAAAAACAGACTTAAAATGATCATTGAAAGCATTAGAAATAACAGAGGAATCACTAGTTTCCACACCGTCAATTTCAAAAACATCAGTAGTCACAGGATTGGGCGAAATTAAACTTCAGAACCTCTCGGGAGACGAAGACATGAGACTCGGGAGTTGTTGGCCATAATAGCGTTCCTTGTCAGACAATACATTTGCTTTTAGTTGAGAAGCCAGTTCAGAAATTCCTTGCTGGAGGATACCTACGTCTTTAGAGTACCGTCTCTGATTTTTTATACGTTTGAGCCGTCTTCGCAACTGCAATGTTTCCGAGAAATCCAGGGGTTCTTCCCTTTCGATTTTTTTACAATGCGTGGAACAAATCTTTCAATATCACAAATTTATAAGGTCCTTGAAACGCTTCCACAAATAATGAATATCAGCAGTGCAACTCGAAAAAGAATCAAATTCAAATGATAGTAAGTCCAATATTGAAGTATCATCTGCACGTGAAAAGTTTGGGAACGAGACCCTCTTTCAATTTTTCTTTAAAACAACATCAGAAAGCGTAAGTATCACAGCCTGATGATCAGATATTCCAGGTAGAATAGAGCAGATAGCTTGAGCAGAGATTGAGCCCTTAATGAGAAAGAGCTCTAGAATTGAACAAGAGTTTGCCTGTATTCGAGTGAATTCATCAACGACTTGCATCAATTCAAAAGAAAATGCTATATCGATCATTCTTTCACCAATTTTATAGTTAGGTTGTTGGAAAGAGAAAGATGGCCAGTTAACATGCGGCAGATTAAAATCTCCAGCTAGAATTATCCGATCCTCAGGCTTCACATGCGCGACAAGGTAATTGTGTAATTCATCCAGAACATCCATGGGGGAATTGGGTGGACGATAAGTAGCCCCAATAACATACCTGGTCTTTCTGTAATACGCTTTGCAAAATATGCCCTCGACATTATGTATGTCACGCATTTTTGTAATTTGCAATGACTGTCTAAACAGGATCGCCACCCCACCGCCTCTACTCCCACGGTCATTCCGGTACACACGGTAGCCCCGAGGAACAAATTCACTATCAAGTATGTTATCGTGCAACTATGTTTCGGTTAGGATAGCAATATGGGGACTATAGGCCAGGAGGGTTCCTTCTAATTCTGTGGTTTTGCTAATAACACTTCTACAATTTAAATTTAGTATTTTCAGCGACTGAAGACTGCACATGCTCCGTCATTTTCCATTCTTCCTTAGCTTAACACGTGCATTTTTCGCTTCATCCCAACTAAACAAGTTCCCATCCACACTCAGTCGATTGTAGAGAAGCTTTACTTTAGCACCGTTCTCTCTCTCTTTTTCCGAACTTTTCCACAGATTTCTGCGTGCCTCACGAACCCTGTATGAAAAATCCTCAGAAAAGGACAGTACCGAGCCCTTTAACTTGTGCGTAACTTTCAAAACAGACATCTTCTCACGATAATCAATAAATTTTAGAATAACTGGTCTGTCTTTGTTTTCAATTTTGCGGCCAAGCCTGTGGCATGTTTCAACAGTAATTGCCCTTATACCTAGTTTCTTCTCGAGGATTTCATTGACGGTATTCTGGAGTGTCTGAGGTGTTTCCCTATGGGGTTCTTTTAGGCCATAAATGATTAAGTTATTTCTACGGCTCCAATTTTAAAATTCATCAACTTTGTCTTCAAGGGATGTTAGTTTTTGTTGCATTTGAGTCATAGAATCTTCAATTTCTTTCACTTGTTTAGGCAATGAAGAAAATTTATTCATGTGATGCTCAATGGCATCAACTCGTTCTGCTAGCGTGCCAAATTTTTCTGCTAAATATTTTTGGTTGGCCTGTTCTTTGTCAATAGCTGCTTTCATTGTTTTTTGGCCAGCGAGTAGCTCAGATAGCATTTCCTTTTCCGTAAGAGGACCAGGATTAGCCTCAACGTCACCGCAAACCAACAGATCAAGAGGTATAGGTGCAACACAAGCAAAAAGAATCTTTAGACACAGTGGGCAAGGCAGCAGCAGCAGGAAACGGTTATCATTACGATAACATTGAGCAGGAAAGTACCTACTAACCTGTATCGCAAGGCAAAGCGGATTACTGAGCATGCTGCCTTCTCTGCTGCTGACAAGCCCACTGCCGTGGAATGAGCCTGCCTGTAGATTTAAAGGCTCCGAAGTGATCACGGGAACTGACGTCACTCGACGATGATTCCACGTGGACGCTGTGATGAAAGGGGGCGTTGTTTCCTCGATCCAGCAGCGGTCGTCCACGGGTGATGAAAACCAGCCCTCGTTAGGCCAGCCAGACGAGGTGACGTCATCGTCCCGAGCCAGCCCCGGGAAGACGGTGCACACCGTAGGACATTCACCAAGAAGAAGCGCCAAGACCTGTATCGCAAGGCAAAGCGGATTACTGAGCATGCTGCCTTCTCTGCTGCTGACAAGCCCATATGTAAACGTCCTGCAAGAAATCTACAGGGGATCAACTGCTACCATAGTGCTTCATAAAGAAAGCAATAGGGTACCAATCAAGAAGGGTGTAAGGCAGGGGGATAGAATCTCCCCAATGCTCTTTACCACATGCTTACAGGAGGTTTTCAGAGACCTAGAATGGGAACAGTTCGGCATAAGAGTAAATAGAGAGTACCTTAGTAACCTGCGCTTCGCCGATGACATTGCATTGCTGAGTAACTCAGAGGACGAATTGCAACTCATGATTACGGAGTTAGACAAGGAGAGCAGAAAAGTAGGTCATGAAATTATTCTGCACAAAATGAAAGTAATGTACAACAACCTCGGAAGAGAACAGCACTTCGAGATAAGTAATAATGCTCTTGAAGTTGTAAAAGACTATGTCTATACTTGGGACAGGTAATAACCGCGGAGCCGAACTACGAGACTGAAGTAACTAGAAGAATAAGAATTGGGTGGAGCACATTTGGCAAGCACTCTCAAATCATGACAGGAAGATTGTCACTATCTCTCCAGAGGAAGGTATATAACAGCTGCATCTTGCTGGTACTTAGCTACGGAGCAAAATCTTGGAGACTTACACTGACGGTTCCGCTTAAATTGAGGATGACGCAGCAAGCAATGGAAAGGAAAATGGTAGGTGTAACCTTAAGAGACAAGAAGAGAGCACAGTGAATTAGGGAACAAACGGGAGTTAGGGATATCATAGTTGAAATCAAGAAGAGGAAATGGACATGGGCCAGGCATGTAGCGCGTAGACAGGATAATCGCTGGTCAATAAGGGTAGCTAACTGGATTCCTAGAATAGGCAAGTGGGTTAGGGGGAGACAGAAGGTTAGGTGGGCAGATGAGATTAAGAAGTTTGCGGGTATGAATTGGCAGCAGCAAGCACAAGACCGAGTTGACTGGCGGAACATGGGAGAAACCTTTGTCCTGCAGTGGACGTAGTCAGGCTGATGATGACGATGACAGAGCCAAATTGCGGGCATCCTACCGCCAGCAAATGTAGTTGCACAACAGCACCTGTATTTCCATCATGAAATGAAGAACTTCCCTGCCTATTTTCTACGTGTAGCTATTTGAGACAGGATGCAGCCCCTTACCATTGAGATTGTATTATTTACTTCAATTTATTCATTGTTCACGTTTTTGAATGCGCGAAAAAATCCCGCATTTTTACGTGCACCTCAAACGTAAACGGCGTCTGGGTCTAGATTAAACGCTGATGGTGCGCCCCCGTCACTTCCATAGCATTAGGAGACGCACCCCAAAACAAACTACTCCGCGTAGTGGTACATGTGCAGAAGCTCCCCCTTCATAGCTTTCCCTTCAGTGCCAAAAAAGTTGTCGCTGAGAATAGAACACACGGGTTCGATTGCAGACGCAGAGGTAGCATTCTGACAGTGACGAAATGCTAAAAGTTCACGTACTGTGTGATGTCGGGGCAGGTAAAAGAAGCACAGACTATGTTGTTAAGTTTCCCCAAACTGGCGAGAAGTTGTATGCTTCTTTTTGCCACCAGCATAAGGCTTTGTTTTGTGCGGTTCCATGGAGAGACCAACTTTGCCGCCCGCAATGGTCGGCAGTAGCGATTGCCAACGTTATTACCAGCAACATTACCGTAGCTCAAATAGAACCAAATTTGCTTGTCCCCAAGAACAGTGTGAAGCATGACATTATTGGGGATTTCGTGGTAGGCTTTTCTAATCTGAATAAACTTCATTTTCCTGACTGGACCATATTTTCCGCCTATTTCGCAGTCCCCGTCAGGTCTGAAAAATAGCTCGGCGACTGTATTCGAATTCGCTTTGATTTGGATTTCAGTTATTGGAAATTTCGAAGTATTCAATATGAGCAAACAGGTGTACTTTAGTTCATGTGTAACCCTCACAGTAAAGGTGATTTCACTGTACAGGACAGCTGCTCTACCATCAATACACGTTTCCAGAGAAAATCTGCATTGCCTTAAAGCCGCTCTTCAAGGCCAAATGATCATATTACCTTCACATAAATTCATCATTGTTTAGTTTAACTGCCTGTTATACTGGCTTACAATGCTCTAAGTACAGTAAATTTTGAAACCTAACATATTTTACAGGTTATCACTTGCATTCTACTTAACGTCAAATTCTGCTACCATTCAAAGTCACTTCCACTTTCCTTTGAACCAAGCACATGGCATTGTTTCAGTTAAAAAATATATATTGGGCAGGTTAGTTGGATCGTGACAGAAGTGCTCATTTTTCTTTATAATATATGTGATATCTACTGCCCAAATCAGATTGGAAATTAATTGAACAAAATCAATATTTGCTTCGAAGATGAAATATACTATTTGCACGAGCCTGGTAAATGCTTTATGCAGACAACTTTGCTCAAGTGATGCTTTCTTTGTGCAGCCTCGTCATGGTGTGCCTCATCATGAAGTCTACATCTCCTTTGTGTAAGTGTCACCAGAACTGTTCCATACTTCCTGTGCAACCTGTCTCCTATTGCATGCTGTGTGGTTGTCCGCTTTTCATTTTGCTGTTTAGGAACATGACACAGACGGTTTACACATTCAGTAAAAAGAAGACATACAAGCGAGAGAAGGGGACATTTTGTATTTCAGTTTGCACCCCTTCTTCTTTGTAACATGCAGGTTGCATGCTGGAAAGGTATTGTTTGCTTTTTGCATGTACTGTACTAGCCACATCAAAGAACAGACCACCAATTTTGGTGACGCCTGTTGGCTTTAAAGACCCTGCGGAGTGCCACAGTTGTTCAGTGGTGGTTATTGGGCTCGACTGCTGACTCGTAGGTGGCTGCAGCTTGAGGGCTGTCAACTTAGATTTATGCACACATTAAAAAAACCCAGCTGGTTTAAATTTCGAGAGCCCACCACTACGACATCTCCCATAATCATATTGTGGTGATTAGTTACCCATGTAACGCGTTCATGTTGATGCTCCTGCATTTTGTAGATAAGTTAGTAGGTGTGCAAGGTACAGGAAAATGTTTGGTATGGTCAGTTGGAATGATGCTCCCAATAGCGCATGCTCGCAAACAGCTCTCCAGAATGGCATAGTCAATCAGTCACGAAACAGAGGTGCTTGCATTATGCTAAAGTGCTTGTCAGCTACGTTGGGGTTGTGAATTATGCACTGCTTTAGGAGTACACAAAAGGGGAGTAGCCGACCATACTTTAAGTATGTTTGTGTGTGCATTTGTGTGTGTGCATGTATAAATGCGCTAGCAAAACTGAGGGGGAGACAAATATTTGACTCCCCCCCCAGCTATGCCCATGGCACAGGAGATGTAATTGAAGTGCATTTTTTAAAAAACAAACCATCAATGCAAGCGTAGAGATTTCTACATATACTCTAGAGGTAACTCTGGTGCTAGTTTTTATGAGAACTGAAATGCACGGCGCTTCTGCCATCATGGGAATGATGTACTCAGATTTGTATAAACTTTGTTCTTTCAGCTCTGTTTGGCTTCGTGCAGCTTGAAGGTGCTTAGTCACGAAATGACAATCGGCAAAGGTTTACCAATTATACTACACCACCTTTTAGGCTCACCAATTAGAATCGGGTCACAAAGTTCAATACAGTTCATTTTTTTTTTATTTTTTCAAAGCACACAAGCACAAAGATTAGGCAAATCAGTAAAACTTGTAGCAAGGTGGGTTTGTCTATAATTCTGGGTAAATTGGTGTGCTCAGATACAGACACTGTCTCTGTCTGATATTTTCTGTGGCGTTGTCTGTATTTGCGCACACCAGTTTACTGGGCAAATCCATGCATACTACCCATCGTTCTCGAGGTGGCTGAATGATTGCAGCGGCAGAGTTCCCTCTAGGCAATTTTCGGAAACTCTATCACCCGACACGAGTGATACTGTTGTGTGTCGCACTCTGTGGCGACGTAGCCAGGAATGCTGGCCATGGGTGTGCGCAGGGTTCCCCTTCAGAAGGTTTGTCGTGGCACCCCCCCCCCCCCCCTTCCTATCATGTCAATGCATGTGGCTTTGAGGGGATTTTACAGCTGTTTGATATATTAATTCGTTACATCTTGGTTTCATAGGTGGGTCTTTGATTGTGCATAATAAAAATATTGCTGAAACGCAAATTCACAGTCAGTTCAAAGTGGGCAAAGTGAAACTTTCAGGCCATCTGCATTGTTGTCAGTAGCTATGCCGAAATGCATTTCCCCTACAAATAAACAATAATTGACTTGCTTTTCATGCTCAGGAGTAATGAAAGTCGGGTAATCTTATTTACGTTGACTGAAAATGCAAGAGACGAAGGCAAAGATGCCTTCAATTATGAGCCGTCAAATGCTAATTTCACCTGTGAAGGTGTGCTACAATGGGGGCAATATTACAATGGAGTCACTTGAAACACTAACCCTTATTTGTCAATTACTGATGTTAATAGTAGTGCCCTTTCATAGACAATACAATCTGAATGCGTATTTTGCGTGTATGTAAGTAAGAAGGTACGTGAGAAGAAAAGGGAAAACTTCACCTAGCCGTGTAAAGCACAAGAAACAGCAAGGTTGGTGAAACAGAGGGTGTCCTTCTTAGACGATTTCCTTGGCGCAGTGTAGAGTCTAACCACAGTCTGCCACAGAGCAGCGCCAAAACTGGCTGCGGCACCTTCAGTAGACAGCTGCGCAGACTGTTGTCTCCGTTGGTGTGTTGGCCGAGAGGCAACGGTACGAAGGCTTTTTTTTAGTTTTCTTTGCAGACATTCTTTCTTGAAGAGCGCTTTTTTCTGAGGAGTGATGTCATTTGTTGTTTGCAGTGGTGGACTCTGCGCTGATCCTGCTGCAGACTGTGCCCACACACATTCAAATCGATTCGCTCCAAAAGAAGCTCCTGCAGGAGGTGGAAGGCGTGCTGGCCGTGCACGAGTTCCACGTGTGGCAGCTGGCCGGCGAACGCATCATTGCCTCGGCCCACATTCGCTGCAAGAACCTGCAAGACTACATGCAGATCGCCGAGCGCGTCAAGGAGTTCTTCCACAACGAAGGCATCCACTCCACCACCATCCAGCCTGAGTTTGTCCAGCTCGAGGGCCAGCAGGTACCGGTAAGTCTCTCACCAAATCGTCCTAGCACCTTTTTCGGGCCTGCTTAGTCTTCCACTGTGTCAAATGGAAAATTTTCATCACAGAGCTCCTTCGCATGCAACGACATGGCAGACTTAAGATGAGTTCCTTCAATGAGTTTTGATCAGAGCTGTGTGAACAGGGAAAACTTTAGTTGCACAGCGAATCGAAGTTTGAGTGCAAATTGGATTGAATATCTTTCAAACATTCTTCGAATATTTTTCAAGCAATTTAAAGTGAAATTGACGAAAAAAAAGTTGGAGAGGATTCCTAAGCATAATTTTACGAGATACTATCAATGGGAAATCTTTTCCTTTTGATAGGTTGGTGAAGTCCTAGAGTGGTGGTGTTTTCTAGTTGTCTTATCAAAAATGTGGGAAACCAGCGGTCAAATTGTATTTATTTACATGATTTGATCCAATCAAAGCGTTGCCGACAACATTTTACACGTGAAAGGCAAAGGATGCTAGTATTTCCTTAGTCTCACCTACTTTTTCAGCTTCTGTGAAAGCTCAGCGAATAAGGGCGTGCTTCCTTTGAGCTTGCAGTTCCTAATCCACCCAGTAGACATCTATATTGGCCGCGAGGGCTTCCACTGGGCAAGCCGGCGCCGCGATTGTTTTGACTTCACAGATAGGATGCTTCTGCTTGCCTTACTGTGGACTTTTCAGTGTAATTGCAGTGTGCAGCATTCAGTTCTCAGTGGGAACTGTGTGGCCAGCTGGAGATATTATTGCCATATAAGCAGTGCTAGGTTGTGTGCAAGCTGCTTCTAGGCAGAGCCCGAAAGGCAACTGCGCTGCAATGTGAGAGTGTGATGCAGTGAAGCATATAAAAAAATAATATATCTGGGGCTTTTCATCTCAAAACTACAGTATGATTAAGGGACACCATAGTGGAGGGCTCCAGACGTTCTGGCCATCAGGTGTTCTTTAGCGTGCACTGGCATAGCGCAGTGGTATATTGACCTTCAACATTTTGGCTTTATCTAAACGTGAGTGCTGCGGCCGAGATCAAAACCGCGACCTTGCGTTAGCACCTGACTACTGTAACCGCTACATAACCGAGGTGGACTGCAAGAAGCTTCAGCTTGTTGTACTGTTCGATGCATCAGGGCCAGACGTATGCAACAGGTCCCGCTGTACATTTTCATAATAAGCCCATATGTGAAGAAATGAGCCACGCGTATGTTGCTGGTAAAGCCAAAGGTTCACAGAAAGCACTTTCGTGATGAGGATTTCGTGTTGGCCGCCGCAGCTACGATGCCTGTAACAGCTGATGTGCACGAGTGCTCCAGGCAGTTCATCGCGTGCGTTTGTTGATGAATCTACTGTTTATGGAGAACAACAGGCTTACTGCGTTATTAACAAAACAAGTATAAAGAAGAGCACCTGTGTCTCAGTGGAATCTCGATCATATGAATTAGAAGGGTGCATGCGAAATATTCGTATCATCCCAAATTCGTATGAACAAAAAACAAGTTAAAGATGAACAAGGACTTATTGGGGTCAACTACTTCTTGCTAAAAAAGTCCATGATGATCTTTTGAACTTTTCTGCTTCCATCACCTCTCAATGAAGTGCCGCAGCTTCCTCACTCATGCTGCTGGCTCTTAAAGTGCATTCACACTTGGCATCAAAGGGAGTAAAAGCGGCAAAACTTATTGGAAATTCACTCGCCTTGCCGCTATAGCGACCGGAAAAATGCTCCTTGAAGTCGACAAGAAAAAAATCAGTCCTGGAGAATTCACACCGGAGAATTTAACTGAAAATGCCAAAGCGGCCGCAAAACCACGCCTGCGCCCGTCGAAAAAATTCATATTAGTTCTGCCCAAAAGACAGTAGGATTGGGCGTGTTGGCATAACATGATAAAGAGTGCTTACCAGAGCAAACGACAGGACAGGAGGGGACAGGAGAAGAGACGAGACAGGGCACTGAGCTGCCAACAATTTATTTCTTATGAAGGTCTTTGCTTTTATACAGTTACCAGTCGCAACAATCATGCGCGAAACACAATGATAATGCATAAGCACATCACCCCGACAAGCAAAAGAACAACTTTTCTTCATCTGTGAGCGCGGCAGAAGGGGTGCTAACACGAGCATCTTTCAATGAGCAAATCTTTTCTGCCTCTATGATCTCGCGTGTGGTGTGATCCCTGCATCTTGCAACAATGGTACACTCTGAAAATATTGGCCGGCAGCCACACGTGCTGCAGTGAACGGACAGCCATCCTTGTTTATAGTGATCCACATTGTACATATGTTCCCTCAGCCTCTCATTTATACAACGACCTGTTTGACCGACGAGATACTTTCCACACGATAACAGCAGCTGATACACCACGTTACAGATGTAATCTCTAAATTTATTTGCATGTTTTGTAGTGCAACCGTGAGTGGGTCTGGATGGAGGAACGGGCGACTCAATTTTTGAGGGGCCGTAAAGACCACCTTCACATTAACTCGCTGTGCCACTTTCTTAAGATTGTGCGCTATCTTGTGCATATACGGAACCACGACGAAAGCCTGTCTAGCTGTGACAGGTTGGACTACGTTATCGTTCCCTTTGGCCTGAAGTTCATGCAGCAGGCCTTCGGCAACGGAAACTTGCACGTGGTTGGGGTAACCTGCCGACGTCAGCCTTGAAGGTTGCTCAACAAAGCTTTCTGTAATCTTGTGCACACAGGATTTTCACAAGGCATTCACAAAGCAAGATTTTGCGATACCTCCCTTAACTAACTTAGAATGCGCGGAATGAAATGGCAAAACAAGCTTATTTCCACGCGGTTGATACATCCAGCAAGTGCGTCCATTCAGCAAGTGCGTCCAGTTCTTCCCCTCGAATACAGCCACCGCCGCCTCCTTTGTCGCTTGAGAATTCATTCTATTTTGCCCGTTTGCTGAGCGAGTGTTGTTACTCATCGCATCAATACTGGTGATGCAAGTCCCGTTCACCGACGTCCATACCGTGTTTCCGCGTTTGAGCGTACAGTCATACAACAGGAAGTCGTAAAGTTGCTTGCAAAAGACATAATCGAGCCCTCTGTAGCCCCTGGGCTTCTCCTGTCATCCTGATCAGAAAGAAGGATGGAACATGGCGGTTTTCTGTAGATCACCGGCATCTCAACAAAATTACGAAGAAAGATGTTTACCCGTTGCCTAGAATCGACGATGCCTTAGACTGCCTTCACGGTGCTACATATTTTTTCACTATCGACCTTCGATCGTAGACGAGATGGATCGTGAGAAGACCGCATTCGACACTCCTGACGGTCTTTATCACTTCAAAGTTATGCCCTTCGATCTCTGTAATGCGCCGGCTACATTCGAAAGAATGATGGACTCATTGCTCCAAGGGTTTGAATGGTCAATCTGCTTATGTTACTTAGACGATGTTATCGTTTTCTCGCCCACATTCGACTCCCATCTCGATCGTTAATCGGCGATTCTTGAAGTTTTTGCCACCTCGTCAATGCCGCAGGAGTCCGCCCAGATCCCGAGAAAATTCGCGCCGTCACGTACTTTCCTGTTCCGAAGTCAACAAAGGACGTTCGTAGTTTTGTAGGCTTGTGCTCCTACTTTCGACGGTCTGTTAAGGACTTCGCGATCATTGCACGCCCACTCACAAACCTCCTGAAGAAGGACACCCCGTTTTCTGGGGCGCTGATCAAGCCTCATACCGTAACCGTAACGTACAAAACAGGGCGGTCGCATCAAGATGCGGATTGTTTATCACGCTACCCTGTGGAAGAAGCTGCCCATACCGACACCTTTCCAGACCTTCTGTCTGTGATGCAGCTACTCAACCTTGGCAACGAACAATGCCGGGATGCTTCCCTGCGAACCATCATTGACAAGCTTGAGTCAATGCCTCGCGACGCATCTTTACAAATGTTCCTGGTCAAAGACGGGATCCTGTATCGTCGTAACCTTGATCCATATGGCCATGACTTGCTCCCCATCATACCAGCACATCTTCGTGCGACTGTCCTCAATCAACTTCATGACGCTCGCTCCTTTGGCGGGCCACTTAGGCGTATCTCGCACATACGACCGTGTACGTCGTCGTTTCTTTTGGTTTGGTCTTGCCCGATTCATTCGCCGCTACATCGCCGCTTGTGAGCCCTGCCAGCGCCGCAAAAAGCCATTTTCCCTACCAGCTTGATTCCTTCAGCCGATCGACATTCCCACTGAACCTTTTTTTCGAGTTGGCGTCGACCTGCTTGGCCCATTCCCGATCTCCAGCTCAGGCAACAAATGGATCGCTGTCGCCACTGACTATGCGACACGGTATGCTATTGCACGAGCACTTCCAACGAGTTGCGCAACCGATGTGGCGGACTTTCTGGTATATGATATTATTTTAGTACACGGAGCTCCACGCCAACTTCTCACTGACTGGGGCCGGACTTTCCTATCAGCTGTCGTTGACGAAATCCTGCGCTCTTGCTCTGCCAAGCACGAGTTTGTGACTTCGTACCATTCGCAAACGAACAGTCTTACGGAGTGCCTCAACCGCACCATAACCGACATGCTTTCTAAATGCATAGCGGCCGACCACCAGGACTGCGACATTTATTTGCCATTTGTGATGTTCGCATATAATTCGTCACATCACGACACTGCCGGCTATTCTCCATTCTATCTTCTATACGGCCAAGAACCCGCCCTGCCCTTTGACACCTTGCTGCCCTCAGTCACTGAGTATGCCGGCGAAGCCATCGCGCAAGCCGACCACGCATGCCAACTCGCCCGCAGCCGTCTGCAGGCCTCACAGAAGCACCAAAAACAGCTCTACGATTCCCATCATCGAAACGTGCACTTTTCACCGGGTTCCTTTGTCCTCCTCTGGTCCCCCACTCGGTGTGTAGGTCTTTCTGAAAAACTGCTGTCACGCTACACTGGACCATACCTCGTCGTTCGCCAGGTGACTGATGTTACATACGAGATCATTCCAGCCGATCCAATGTCATCATCGTCACCTTCGAGTGACATCGTGCACATAGCTCGACTCAAGCCTTATCACCCTCCTTCTACCACATCTAAGTTGCTCAAGCACCGAGACGGTGCTTCTACCGCCGGGGGGTTATGATACACAACAGCCGGCACAGCCTTGCTGCAAAAAAGAGAAAGATGACGTCGGTTTCTGGTTGTTGATGAACTGTCGCCATCTTGTTCGCCGAGCACGGTCCATCGTATATAATTTATCAAAGTTACTCGTAACAATATGAAGACACCACTATTTAATGTCGACTGTATCTGTTTTTGGGATGTGGGAATACTTCGAATAGTTAAATTCCAGTTGAAATCGAAATGCTGGCACTATTAAATAATATTTGAAAGTTTGAATATTCATGCACTCCTTGTTTTGATTGTCTGGAGGACAGAAAAATCTTTTGCTGTCCGTGGCAAAACAAGGTGCATGTCGGCAGCCTGACGCAGAATGTTGGTTTCTGCACTTTTATCACAGTGAGGTTGGCAAAGCCATTCTCCCAGTGCATCCAATTGATAGGCAAGTCCATCTCAACTCCATGATGCCTGTAGAAACAGCACATGCACAAAAAAAAAAAAAAACACCTAAATCTGAGTGGTCGTCAGGCCTGTCTCTGCCGTTTTTTGTTTAACAAGTAAGCCTCAATGTAACAAGTCTTAATGTAATGAAATTCTCGATACCAAAGTAGGGAAGTATTGATAATTTTGAATCTGTAGAAAAGTGTGATTTCAACCTCAGTATGAGGAAGCATTTTCGTCCACAATTTCACTGCTGCCACATGAGAAGTCTGAGACAATAAACGAAATCTTTGCAAATGCATTTCTGAAACGGCGTGCCATACTTACCTCACCTATGGAGTGGCAGAGAGCATGTGGGAATCGTATATTACACATCACTCTAGCCACAGCGGCCATCAGAGCATCTAGTATGTACAGTCGAACTCCACTACAACGAACACCGTTTAAACAAAATTTCCGCTACATTGCAAAATTCAAGATTTCCCGTCAGCAGTACACAGGAGTCAATGCATAAATAATGTCGCCACAACGAACACTTTTTCTTCTGTCGTCCTGCTTCAAAGAAATTTCACAATGCAATTCCAGGCTCAGATACTTATTGCTATGCACTAAACCCAATCTTTAACATTTTGATGAGTTTTCAGAGCGTGAAAGTGCGTCAACGAAGTTTAAAACATGCGTTGGCACCACCAGACACTGCCGCTGTTTAGCAAGCATGGGCGCCGCTATTGCTCGATAGCGATGGCTATGAGACTGCCCTGCTTTTGCCACTGGCTTGCTTTTTTGTCACTGGCTTGCTGTAAAAGCAAGCCACTTACGTTGCTTTTGGGCTGCAGGCGATCCGAAGCTGAAGCTCAGTCGCTCAGCTCATGGTTTCCTTCACTCAGCTGCTCGGTGCAACTGCGGAACGATGCCTTTTCCGATGCTTATCATTATGTTCGCGCTTGGCCAGTATGGTAACTAATCAGAGCGGCTGTTCGTCTGCATAATCAGCAAAATCAGCTAGCCGCGAGTGATAGATGATAAAAGGCATAGAAGTTGCCGCTCCACGATACCCTGTCTCCATCTCGGCGTTTACGGATACACATTGACGGCAGACAGCTTCTGGTGTTAGCGTGTTAATGCAACTGTTTAGTTTGTTCACGAAGGTGGTTTTAGGCGTTGTTTCTGTGTGCTTTTCACCATGGCCTCGCTATGCATGGGTGAGAATCAGGTCGTGACGCTGCTGGAAAAGAATAGGAAACAGTGGACACTTTTTGAATTCTGAGAATAAACGTTTGTTTGTTTTGCTAGCTCAGATCAGCTATATTTTTTCGATTTCACTACTACGAAATTTTTACAGTACCCCGTCAGATTTGTTGCAGCGGGGTTCAACCGTACTTACAACACGAAAGGCACTGGATTTGATTCCTCCCCAGTTGGTGAAAGAGGTGTCCAGACGACTTAATGGTTCCCTCTCCCCATAACTCTATGGCCTGTTACATGGTAATAAGGGTTGCAGCACAAGCACGGAGGTGCTAGAAGAAACGAGAAACGAAAGGCGAGGCAAGGAAAGCAAAGAGGACAACACGAGCACTGCTTTCCTTGCCTCGCCTTTCTTTTCTCGTTTCTTCTAGCACCTTCATGCTTGCGCTGCAACCCTTATCACCATTAAGTTTAACCAGCTAGCCCAAATAGCCGTTCTTCTTTATGGCCTGTTAGGTTGCAGAAATCTCTTCATTCCAATCATTCACTACTCTACAGTCTCTAAACAGTGTAATCTGCATCAGGCTCAACGCTTATTGTTGATGGAAGCAGTAAGTGCAACCAGCTCTCTTTGATTCGGGCTATCTTGCAAGTGTTTTATGGGGCATAGTTCCTGTTGACGAAAGAAAGCTCTGTGATGAGCAAAGTGAAAATATGCAGTAGACCCTCGAAAATTCAAACTTGGTTAGCTGAAATAAATCTTAAATGTTGGTTTGCCTGCTGTGTTTTCAATGTATGTTAATGCCTGATTCAAACTGCCCCATTGCACAAATTCAGTTAATTCAAACTATTTGCTTGTCCATGCTGTTTTTGTTGTTTTAGTTGAACATTAGCATGTAGATGCGTGATTCAAACTGCCCCATTGCACAAATTCAGTTAATTCAATTTATTTGCTTGTCCACGCTGTTTTTGTTGTTTTAGTTGAACATTAGCATTTTTTCATCTCTTTGACAGTTCAAATAGAGCCGATTGCCTGCTTACAGAATGGCAAAACTTGTGAAACAGCTCACACCATCAGTCACATGCTGACTGACGAAGAAAAACAGAAAAAGAACCGAAGGGACAAGAAGAGAGCTGGGTGGGTCGGGGAACGCACAAGTGTTGAGGAGCCAAGAACCAGAAATTGGCAAGATAGCTGCTGGTTATTAAGAGTAACAGGCTGAATTTTGCGAGATTGCAAGGCAGAAAGTTTGGTGAGATGAAGAAGTTTGCTGAACAGCAAGCACAGGACTGGGTTGAATGTGGTCGCTGTAGTGGGTGCAGTCAGTTCGGTGATGATGGAACATTCTCCACACAACAAGCTGTGTCTGTAGCAGTGACAGACATTTTTCGGGTACTGTCTAAATATTGATGAGTAATAGTAGTTGAGACTGAATGCATGAATCAGAGCAGCACAGAGCACGAAGTGAGGTAGCGGTGTGAAGAAGCTACAGTAGACTCTCATTAAACAGAACCTGAAGGGACCACGAAAATGTGTTCCATTTAACAGAAGTTCCGTTTACTGAGAGGTGAGCTGGGTTGCAGCATCCAAGTATAAAACCAATGACATCAAAGGCAGTTGTTTCATTTAAGCAGCAGTTCTGTTTAACAGATTTCCTTTAGTCCATTGTACTGGTTTTCTGCTTTCAGAGTGACGACAAGGACTGTGTCTTGGACTGTCCCAGCCGTACCAACTGTGTGGCCCAGACCTGCTGTGGACCTCGAGGCAAGGAGGGCGTGAACACGCCTGATACACCGGCGGCGCCTACTGAAGGAACTGTGTTGCGTCAACGGCCTGCAGCTGAACTCAGTGCTCCTGCTTGAAGGCTCTTGAAAATTGTCTGTGCAGGACTTAAGTGCTCATTTTGACAAATGGGCCACACATGGAGCGACTCTTCCTGCCAACCCAAGCACAGGCCATCAGATGCGAGAAAGGCTGCTGATTCTGTGCGTTGGTTTTTGCTATGCAAGACTGGTTGCAAGCCAGAGTGGCACCACAGAGTACAGATGGCCAAGCCTTCAACTGTGATGAGTAGTGCAACTTTTATGAAAAGGTTGTGAACAAGGAACGATGCCTGCCACCAAAGAGTGTGTGTCAGTCTGAAGGCACAAAATAAAACGGAAGCCATGCTGCTTGCTGTGTCGGCACTTTTCTGCAAGTGCCACATGATGTGTGTCCTGTGGGTGATAGTAATCAATTGAACAGTGTGGGCTGCCTCGTTACGTGCTACGTGTAAAGTTCTACATACAAACAAGTAGTGACAGCGGGAAAGACTTGATGTTACAATGACTGTTCATTACAAACCTTAGATGAAAATGATCTGCTGCATTTTGATGAAGCCCCATCAACCAAACAGGCCAGTGATACTTCAAACATACGTACTTGTTCATTTGACGCACTGCAGTAAGTGTTCACATGCTAACCGGCAGATTGCCAAGTTCTGTTCTCCAAAGTGAACAATGTTGCTTATTGGGCAAGTTCGAACTAGTTGGTCAGTGGTACTTAGGACAAACACAAGACATGATTGTATTAAACGGGGCTAGTTGGTTCACAAAATGTAACAATGAAAAAAACAAATAGCTCCAGGCCTGCACGAAGTACGCAGCACAGAGCGAAAGCTGGAAAAATGGCCTTTCAGAGCATTTTTTAAACTTTTTTGGGTAACTGCTACAAGCAGAATTGCTGGGTACCCACTATGCCATAAATAATAATAATTTCTGGGCAGTAGGGCAGCATTCATTATGTTATCCTTCGTCATTCTTCAGAGAAGCGTGGTATCCCCTAAACTCTTGCAAGGGCTAATTGTTTATGCAGTGGCTGACAACGATGAGGAATTATGGCTGAAGTGGGTATGCGCCACAGTTAATAGCTGAACAAAAACAAGCTTTTGTAATGGGTTGGAGCATTCGACGACCAACTTGTTACACTATTCGCATTGTGTGACGCCTGGTTGTTTATTTGCTGTTTTAAAAAGCTTTATCACTCATATTAACGCCATTCATTCCTTTCCCGACATCAAGCCTGGCTATAACGCAACTTTGCGAACAAGTGTCAAGCACCGGCGTGACTCAGTGGTAGAATACTAGGCTGGCCCACAGCGGACTCGGGTTCAAACCCAACCGTGTCCTTAAGGTTTTTTATTTATCGAGTTTTTTTTTTTCTCTTATTTCGTGTGATGGTAGTTACGAACAACGGGGGACTACGGCGCCGCGCAAGACCCGTGTTGTGATCTAATACAGTTAAACCTGCTTGTAACGAACCTCCATATAAAGAATTCCTCCATATAACAAAGTTTTTCTATTCCCCGCCATTGCTCCATAAAAGCACATGTATTTTTAACCTCTATGTAACGAAGTAACAGTGGGAGACAACCTTGATATAATGAATTTTCCCCACGGATGATCTAGGAATTTCGCTCTGCATTTTGGCATTTTTGTGCGAGCGTGCATCTTCCGCGGCTGCCCTGCCCTCGACAAAGTGCGAAGCGGCGGCGGCGCACACGGCGCACCAGGTGAAAGAGAGCGCTTGCTCTCACCACCCTCCTCGCGTGAGTGTGGGCAAGTGGGCCTGCACCCCACAAGCCGGCATGGCCACCGTTCTCGCCACCGCGGACGCAAGCGCGGGTGTGCCCCCGCCCCCCAACTCCAAACCAAAATAAAAAGTACAAGAAAACTACTTTTTCGCATTGACAGTGCCACACTTTTAGTTAGCGTCACATATCCGAGGCCGCGTTGCCTATGGAGGGCGCCTTACCAAATAGTTTTCCGCGGTGTCTTTGTCCCTGTTGCTTGCTCTTCGTTTTCGACGCCGTGCGCACGTGCATACTGTATTTTTGCGCGTATAACCCGCCCCTGCATATAATCCGCACCCCCACTTTCAGCTCACCGAGAAAGAAAAAAAAAAAATCCTCGCGTATTGCCCGCACATATGATATACAGGAAAGGCTGTACAAAAGCTACTGCTCAAGCAACATAGCACATATGTAGACAGAAAAAGCTTTATTTAGCAAGCAGAATACACTGCCTGCAAGGCCAGTCACAATTCATGCACTGTTGCTGCTCTCGCTAGAGCTATCACTTGAGTCGCAGTCCTCACTATTATGCTCAAGGTCATCTTCGGTTCCATCCATGTTGTTTGTCATGCAGCATTTTTTGAAACTTTTTCGCACCATCTCACCTGGAATGGCCTTCCATGCCTCGACAATCCACTTGCAGAATAGGGCAATATCAGGCCTTCGGAATCGTCCTGTCGGCGTCAAGTCGTAGCAGACTTCGGCAATCCACTCGGCGTAATAGCGCTTGACATGCGCTTTGAAGGGCTTGCTAAGCGACACATCGAGAGGCTGCAACATTGACGTCATTCCACCGGGTATAACAACTAAGTCGGTGCCATTGCGTGAAAGGCGGTCCTTCACTTCTCAGTTGTGTGGCCGCGGAACGAGTCAAAAACCAGCATGGACCTCTTTGCGAGCATCGCACCGGGCCTCTTCTCCCATACCGTCTTGATCCAGTCTACGAACAAGTCACTGTTCATTCACGCGTTCTCGTGTGCGCGCACCACCACACCGGCAGGCAAATGAACCTTTGGTAGAGTTTTCCTTTTCAAGATGACGTACGGTCGCAGTTGCGTGCCGTCGGCGAGGGCACAAAGCAAGAATGTGCTGCGCAGTTTCGTGTTCCCGCCGGTCAGCACGCTCACCGAACTGCTGCCCGTCTTCTCAATCCTTGTGTCCAACGACATTTCAAAATAAACAGGAGTTTCATCCGCATTGACGATTTGCGAGAAAATGTAATTGTGCTGCTTTCGCAGGCCAATTACATCTCTCTGGTACTTGAGCAGCTTCCGAACACAGCGCCTTCCGAACACAGCGGCCACTTCTTCGTGTGACGACGCCTTCCACCAAGCCCCTCGATGTGACAACCTTACACGCATCATTCGTCGAGAGGTCGAGGCAGCACAACCGGTAGCCACGCCATTACCGACGCCTGCGCCTTCCCCGACCACGATCTCTTTAATACAAGCGGTCGTTCGTCAAGAGCTATCGAATGTCGGCCTACATCCTGTTCCTGCCGTATACTCTGCTGAGCCTTCTTATCGTACCCCTTCTGTTCCTCGCATACAATGCAATCCGTCCGAATGGCGTACTCTTGATGACAGGCCCATATGTTTTAACTGTCGACGCGTTGGTCATATCGCTCCTCACTGCCGCAGCCGCTGGGCTCCACCGTCCCATTACGCACCTCAGTATCATGCCACTTCTGTTCGCCAGTTGTCCCCATCACTTTCCCCATCAACGCCGACCAGATTTTCCGCCCCTGCAGCACCTCTGAGCAGACCTCGCTACAACCGGTCACCGTCCCCTGCTCGTCATCAGTCTCGGTCGCCCCCACAACGCCGTGCTGCCTCCCTGACCTATTCGCAGCACCTCCGACCGGAAAACTAGGTCGTGCAGCTTCTGGAGGTGGAGCTGCGTTGACGACCTTCGTAAGAAATCCTCGATTAAAGTTAACAACGAGCCGGAACCTTTTGGAGGTTACTGTCGACAATGTTCGTGTCTGTGCATTGATAGATACTGGCGCGCATGTGTCCATTATGAGTGCTAACCTTCGTCGCCGACTTACAAAAGTTGTCACGCCCGCCCTTAACCGAGGTGTACGAGTCGCCGATGGAGGAACTGCCGCAATTCTTGGCATGTGCTCTGCGCGAGTGTCTATTGGGGAGAAAAGCACTGTCGTTCTTTTCGCCGTTATTGAACATTGCCTTCATGAACTCATTCTCGGTATGGATTTTCTAGCCACGCACTCTGCCCTCATGGACTGTTCAGCTGGCTCTCTCCATCTCGATTTACCCCTCTTTTCCGACCCGACCAGCCCACCGCAAACCAGCCTCTGCTGCACTGATTTCACGCGCCTCCCGCCTAACTCTGTCACACATGTCGACTTATCCTCCACGCCGCCAGTACCTGATGGTGATTACATGGTGGCCCCGATTCCTGCTGTGATGCTTACGCATGGGGTTGCTGTGCCGCATATGATTCTGACGATTACGAGAAACCGCACCTTCCTTTCACTGGTCAACTTTTCACTCACCACCGAAGTTCTGCCACAGGGTATCTCCCTGGCCAAAATTACCGCTCTCCAAGATCACCATGTCGAGCCCTTCAGAGTTGACGATTGCTGCAGCTCAGTCAGTGGTTCCACTTCATCACGTTCTTGGGGCGTCGACATTGAGCGAATGGTGTCATCGGACCTCACGTCTGAGCAAGCTGCAGCACCTTGCCACGTTTTTGAGGGCTATCGTAGCATTTTCAACTTTGCCAGCAACTCTTTAGGCCAAACGACCACTGTCACCCATTGCATAAATACTGGCCATGCAACTCCCATTCACCGACGCCCCCCCCCCCTGCAGGGGCGCCTGCGCAAGTAGGCGTTTGGTGTGTAGCGACACCACGGACCCGAGCTAACGGGGGAGTTTCTACTCCCTCCCACGCCTACCCGTGCGTGGCTTTGCCGTGTCCGGGGAAAAGGGGATCCTGGGGGTTGAGCCGACGCTGGGTGATTGGACCGTTAAGGCCCTCCGGCAGAGGCAACACACCCCTTTGGCCCCGGCTTCACGTAGACGGCACCCCTGGGCTGACCCACCCAGGGGAAATCGGCAGTCGCCTTTTCCTATCTCTCTCTCCCTACATCTTCGTCTTTATCTCTTACTATTTATCTGTCCTGTCTTCTACTCTCTTCCGTTTACTTCCAAACTTCCTGGCGGCTAGGGTTAACCCTGTGCAAATAGCCTACCTTGGTCTAGGCGCATTGGGTTATAGTGGCGTTGTACGGCTGGCGTCTGCAGGTTTCAGCAACCGCAAACTTGTAGCGTCCCCTCATTGGGCTCCGTGGTGGGTGGCCGCCAACGCTGCTGAACAAAAATAGAACAGGCATGCATAGAGCATTCCCCCTACTGTCTGATCGTACCGGCTTAAAGCGGTTACTCACCGATGATATAAATTTTTTCAACCAGCCAAAAGAAACATATCCTCACTTTCATGTTATCCACTGTGAGAAAACTGAAAAGCAAGCCAGGACCGTCTCTCCTTTCCTAATTTCTAGATGTCTTACCGAAACTCTTGGCACAGGATACAAGGTAACCAAAATGGCTAGTGGAGACCTCCTCGA